CTAAAAAAAAAAAAAAAAAACAAAAAAACAAAAAAACAAAAAAAAAACAAAACAAAACAAAACAAAAACAAAAAGTAGGCCCGCCCCTATATGAATATTTTATATTATGTCAATAAGATTACTTTGCGAGGATTCGGATCAATGGTTTAATTCTTGTTCATTATATTTCACATTAATGTATATGTTCAATCAGGGATATGCTATCGTTTAGCTCAAAATAATAATAATAATAATAATAATAATAATAATAATAATAATAATAATAATAATAATAATAATAATAATAATAATAATTCCATAGTTTTATTGCATATCTTTTTAAATTTTTTTTCATGAAAAATGTGTCAGTTTAAAAAATAATAAAGATAATACAGTTTATGGTGGTAATTATAATAATTTGTTGATCTTTATTTACGATAATCTAATTTTTGAAAAAATTAAATTGAATAATAAAAATCAAATAATACATACTATTTTAATTATTTGCCCATGTTGTGCGGGTGATTCCGCATGATGGCATGCTATAAAGAAATTGAACAAAGAAGGGTGGAAACCCTTCCAAAAATCTGTAGGAAAATAATATAATAATAACAAGAGTGACCGCTTACTGGTCCACGCGTTACACAGTGGTTACCTCTTTTTTATTTTGGGCGTAAAGACTGCCTTTCAATAGTCGACGTGAAAGAATACAAATAAATTTTACAAAAAAAAAAAAAAAAAAAAAAAAAAAAACTGCTTTTAATTTTAAAAAAAAAAAAAAAAGCAACTGCTTTGAAGTTTATAGGCGTTTGACAAACACGAAAGAAAAATTGAAAATTGAATTCCAAGACGCGATTCGGAATCACGACTTTCGGTTCTTTAAAACACATCCTTAACCGACCGCACCATCCATGCGACGTGGCAGTATACAGTACTTGCTGAAACGCCCGTTTTGTTTTGTAGATGTAGGGGGCACCCTGGGGTGAAAAAAAGGACCATGAAAGTTTGTTGGAAATAACCTTTAGATTATGTGTACAAAATTCCCTGCGTGTCCGTTCAAAACTGGCGACGCTGGATATTTTTAAATTTCTAGTAACAACAAGAACTGCAGTAGTAATGTTCTGGGGTCCGCCTTGCGCGGACCCAAAGTCACTGTACGATTTTAAAAACACATGTTAATCAAGTACCCATGATAATAGTGATGGGTGGGCCAAAGTCTCATAATGTAGATTTGAAAATACGGTAATTTTTTTTTACTTGTTATTGATTATTAAGTGTTTATACATAGCCGACACTTGCGGTGCTATTTCTATGTAAATGTTATGTTTAAAATGAGAATACAAGAATACCGAATACTGGGTACTGAACCTAAATATTTTCTTGATGATGACATAATTGATGTCGAAATATTGAATCCCAACACGATAGCGTGTATTTTAATATTTGGAGTATGTATTATACTTTCTGAACTTAAACATGTCTAAGCAGAAAGCAAATAAATAAGACTATGCAATTTGATTTAAAGAAAGGAGACAAGAACGATGATTCAAATGTTATTTTGACCCCGGATTTAAGACAACACATACAGTAGTTTCTTGGATAAGGGGATGATATTCGTAAATCTTTTGGTTCTAAATGTGTAATGCTTTTTTGGGTGTCACGTAAGTAGGCCTACAAATTATGCGAATTGCTGAGGACCAGGATTTTAAATGGTCAGATTGGGGCACTAGCGAATTCGGTAGGCCTACAACTAACTGGACCATCGGTTGGCAATAGTCTTGGTCAGAGTCAGAGCAAGGAGGGGACCTCCTAATTTCACTGTTCCCTGGTCAGAGCAGGGATGGATTCAGAGCGATGTTCGATCAGTATTTTTTACCCAATATGCACATAATTTTTTTATTTTTAAAACGAACTGTAATTGTAAAAGTTAAGCCAAAGGGCACAGCGGGTGTTGCACATTCCATGTCAGGCCTCATGTACAAAGTTACAAAAGAGATGTAGCCACTGACGACACGTTCCAGGCTATAGAACGACGCCCACCCGCATGTATTACGTAATAACACAAACCCATCTAATGAATAATCATAATTCGTAATACGCCTATGGTGACACAATTCACACAAATAAACGACAGAATGTCACCGGGTAACGTTATGACAGGCAGTGTACGAGCCGGAGTGCTGAGTTTTAAAAAAAATTAGTGAAGGCGGTCTACAACCTTAACCATCAAGAAGGTACATTCAAGTTTATTACGGTAAAATATACACTTAAATTAACATTAATGATTTAGTTATTTTGTACGAACGAGAACGAGTAATACTGGTGTACCACAGGGTGCGTCCTCTCACCCTTTCTTTTCACTTTGTTCACATATGACTGTGTAGCAACGCTCCATAACTGCCACATAGCCAAGTTCGCTGACGACACCACCATTGTAGGACTTATCTAAGATAATAATGAGACTTTTTATCGACAGCAAATTAAAGATATTGTAGACTGGTTCAGCAGTAACAATCTTTACTTAAATGTATCTAAAACTAAGGAAATGGTTGTAGACTTTCGGAAAGCTATAAATCCAAAATACCCTATATTTATTAATGATGTCCCAATCGACTTTGTTGAGGAATTTAAATTCCTTGGTATTTATATATCCAATGATATGAAGTGGCAACGTAACGTGCAAACAATTGTGAAAAGGGTACAGAAAAGAATTTTTTTTTTGCGTAGGCTTAAATCTTTTGGAATGCATCCGACTATTTTGATGTCTTTTTATAGAGCAGTAATTGAAAGCATTTTAACATTATCTATAACCGTCTGGTTCGGGGGCGCTACCAAAAACGACTTATATGCCCTTAACAGAATCGTCAGGACTGCAACGCATATCATTGGTTTGGAACAAATGCCTCTGGAAACCATTTTCCATGATCGGCTTCTTAAAAAGGCAGAGGCTATTATTGGCGACCAAACTCATCCTGCCTCAAACCTATTCCAATTGATGCGCAGTGGTCGACGTTTTCGTTCATTGAAAGCCACTAAGGCTAGATTCAGGAATAGTTTCTTTCCTAGAGCAATTAGGGCTCTAAATTGTAGGTAAATGTTTCATACTTTTGCACTTTGTTTCTTTGTTTGTGTTTGTTCTGCCTTTTGGAATGTATTTTTACCACAGAGCAAAACAAATTTCTATGTTCTCCTGAACAATGACAATAAAATATGATTGATTGATTGATTCATTCATTGATTGAGTTAGTTAACAAATTCTACGGAAATATATCACTGGGCCTAGACCTCCTATTTCACCTAGACAACTTATGGTTTAATGTGGTGGTGAACTTTATGCATTTACTGTGTCCATGCTTAACTTGAAAACAGTAGAACCTCTCCTTTTGGACACCCCTATTCAGGGGACACCTCTATTAAGGGGACACTTTTCCGTGAAACGAGGGGCGATATATCTTTTAACACTGCAGTTAACCCCTAGTGGGGGGACACCCCTATTAAGGGGACGGGGACAACTTCTGAGTGTACCAAATGGTCAAATAACCCATAACTCAAGATAAGAAAAAATCACTAAACTTTTATATAATATTGACACATTTATCATCCAATAGGAGGTCGAGATCCATGAAATGTCGTATATAAAGATGTGGGTTACCCACATCTTTATATTTGCACAAGTAATTAAAATTGTTTATTGAGCAGATTAATCTCACTGATAAACAACTGTATTACATTCGGCTGGTGCATATGAACTTTTATTTAGAGACACAATTTCATTATTTTCTTTCCAAAAAAACTTAATAAACGTTAACTAGCACCCCATATCGAATTTTCAATGGTGAAAATCGGCTCAGTATAACCCATTTTACCGAGTACAAAATTTAAGTTAATAGAACATACTGCTGTTACATCTTTTAGTTTTCCCCCACCGTTGAATTTAGGTACACGCTACAGGCTACAGTACACACAATGAAGTGGACAGAACTAAGCTATTTTACCGTTTTATTTACATGGATGCTTATAGGTGGCCTAATATTGTTCTTAAGTCTATGCTTCAACTTAAATGTGATTTTCATGATTTGAAATATAAATTCCTTACTTGTTGTGTAGATATTTTTGAGAAATATCCTGATACAGATTTTTATAACCATGTCTTTGATTTTGATAACTTAACATTTAATACTTTTTCTTTAAATACTCTTAAAAATAATGTGTTAGAATTGTATAAAGCAGAATGATCTAACAAATTAACTCAAAAAATCTCGTTACACAATTATTCAAAACTTCAATCTTTTCCCAATTTACAAAACTACTTAATAGACAAAACTAATTTCTATGGGGCAAGCTTAAAATTCAAGTTAAGATCTAACACGCTAACTCTTGATTGTAAAAATTATAAATGGTTCAATGACGTCTCATGTGCTTGTACCCTTTATGACAGTGGAGAAATTGAAGATGTAAAGCATTTATTATTAAAATGTACGGCATTTGACGACATTAGAAGTGATGAATTAACAAATTTAAAAAGTAAACTTACACTCTGTGATCTTTCTGATACGTGGACATTTTTTTCAACATCAGTTGCTGATGATAAATTATTGTATATTTTAGGAGCAGACTCAGTCTCTTTTTGTGATGATTCTGCTTTTATTTTTGATGATTACTGTAAAAAAAATATGCAATAAATACCTGGGGAAAACGCTCAGAATTTAAAAAGACTCTGAGTTAATTGGAAAATGGTTTAAACTTAACGTATTGTTGCTTTAAATTTTTGTTTTCTTTATGAGTTTATACAGTATGTATATTATACAAGTATGTGCGAATGTGAGTATGTGTACATGTTTATGTGTATATATGTGTGCATATATATGTATATGTATATATGTATACATATGTTTATGATTTTGGTGCTTTTTCTTATTTTTACTTCATTTTTGTAATTCCTGTTTAATTTTGATTTCAATTTTACGTTTTGATTCTGTACCTTTAGTTTACATTTTCAAAATTTAAGCCTATAGTTAAAACTTTTTGAGTTAAGCTATTGACTTTATTTACATTCCAGGTTAATTTGTTGTGCTTTTCTTTATGTGATTTGTTTTTGTATTAGGCTGTTTACTTTTGTATTTTAGTTGTTATTGTTGTCCGACCGCACGACACGAGTTGTGTGTGCCACCGTTCTAAAGGTGAAGTGTCAATAAATAAATAAACAATGAGCCACATCTTTATATGTCTGAGTTAACGCATAAATGGTTTTATGGACCCAGGGAACAGTTCCCTGATGGACCTTCTCAGGACTTTTTTCCTACCCCACATCTTTATATCTAATTTGACTGAGAGTTTTGCTTGAACAATTACGTGTAACTTTTGGTATCTGCCCATGAAATGTTTCCATTGCAGGATTTATATGTGCTATGAAGTTGAGCATAATCTCGGAAGAGAAGCCGGCAGCTGACTTTCCGGATTTTTAGAAGTTACTTTCATTTTTCATTTTTATTTTTATATTTTTTTGCTTTTTAAGCTGCTGGCACCTAGCTATTGTAGCCTTGCTTGATTTTGTATTGCCTTTTTATCTTAAAATAAATGAATGAGATGAATGTTTGGAAAATTTGAATTGTTTCTTTTAACTAACGGTCGAATTTATGTATCTTCTGATTGATTAGTAAATAATTGGTAGATAGGATGATTTATATGAAAGAATGGTGGTGGTGCTGTTCTTTACATTTGAAAACGGAGACCTGCATACGAAAACGGAAAACTCAAAACCGAACCATTTATATTTTACGCAAAGTCGAAAAAAGGCCAAAGCAATGCTCCAATCAAAGTTTTTTATAGCCTATTTTTTCCCTCATGTTTCGTCTATCTCTTGGACATGATATATATATATA